CGGCTGCAGGAACTGGGCCTGGCTGGTCTAGGGAAGAGAAGGACCAGGGGACACAGGAGAGCAGCCTTCCAATATTTGAGGAGGGGCTGCCACAGAGAGGAAGAAGGGGTCAAGCTGTTTTCTAAAGCTCCTATAGGCCAGACCAGGAATAATGGATGGAAACTGAACAAGGAGAGATTCAACGTAGAAATAAGGAGTTTTTCTAACGGTGAGGACAATGAATGAATTGCCTTTGGAGGCTTTCAAGAAGAGACTGGACTGCCATCGGTCGGAAATGGTGTAGGGTCTGCTGCTTGGGCGTGGGGTTGGACTAGATGACCTCCGAGGTCCCTTCCGACTCTTGTTATTCTAATTCATTCCACCTTCCTTCTAGCTTCGGAGGCTTGCTCGCTGGTTTCATCTCTGCGTGAGTGGAGAAAGATGTACACATGTAAAGTCCACGTGTAAATACCCATGGTATTTTTGTACATTCCCTGTCCTCGTCAACGGAGCATGCCAAAATATCCAAATGTACCCTGGTCCCAGGACAGGGTACAACACCTGTGCATTTCTCTGCCCCACCCCCTCAGCCCCCCCCACCTCTGTTCAAGTGGATGTTTTATGTTGGAAACAGACAAACTATCGTTCAGTAAGAATAACTTAAACATGTTTGTATTTAGTTGGCTGAGCATCTGTGAGATAATACCAGTTCCTATTTAAGTATGTTACGTTATCGTTATTACGATTTGATTTTTAGTTTGTTTTTTTTTTGCTGTTTGAAACCAAGAACATTCAAAATGTTTAATTAAAACTTCTGAGCCTTCCGTGAGGTGCTTCTTTCCTGTTGTAGTTTTAAAAAGTGCTCTTGTGATTCTCCCATGTTCCCTTTTGCAGATTTTAGCAGGAACAGCTAATTAACAGATTCAATCAAGATCAAGGGAGGTACTAATAATACCACTCTATAAAGCCTTAGTAAGGCCACACCTAGAGTAATGCATCCAGTTTTGGTCACCACATTATAAAAAAGATGTTGAGACTCTAGAAAGAGTGCAGAGAAGAGCAACCAGGATGATTTTAGGGGACTGGATGCTAAAACCTATGAAGATCAGTTGCAGGAACTGGGCCTGGCTAGTCTAGGGAAGAGAAGGACCAGGGGAGACAGGAGAGCATCTTCCAATAGTTGAGGGGCTGCCCCAGAGAGGTGGAGGGGGTCAAGCTATTCTCCAAAGTGCCTGTAGGCCAGAGAAGGAATAATGGGTGGAAACAGATCCAGGAGAGATTCAACATGGAAATAAAGGAGAAACTTTCTGACAGGGAGAACCATCCACCCATGGAACAGAAGTTGCCTTCAGAAGTTGGAGGGCTTCATCCCTGGAGGTTTTCAAGAAGAGACTGGACTCCCATCTGTCAGAAATGGAGTAGGGTCTCCTGCTTGGGCGGGGGGTTGGATTAGATGACCTACAAGGTCCCTTCCAACTCTGTTAATCTGTTATCTGTTAATCTGGAAATGAGACATTTTCTGACAGTGAGAACAATCCACCCATGGAACAGAAGTTGCCTTCAGAAGTTGTGAGAGCGCCATCGCTTGAGACTTTCAAGAAGAGATTGGACTGCCATTTGTCAGAAATGGTGTGTAGGGTTTACCGCTTGGGCGGGGGGTTGGACTAGATGACCTACAAGGTCCCTTCCAACTCTGATTATCTGTTAGCTTGCTGTTTCAAGTCCTTTGGGGTCTTTAGTTCATCGTGGAAGACCAGTCCTTGAGAGCGGGGCGATTCTTAGGGTGTGATGGCCTCTTGGCGATGTTTCTCTGACTCTGAGGAACGTCAGCAGCCGAGGCTCCCGTGACGCTTTGAAGCACGCCATACCATAATAAGTGTGACTTCCCGAGTGAAAGCGGGATTAAGTGATACTTTCGGAGAAATATAAAACGTGCAACACATGCCCTTTGTGACACGCACGTGGTCTTCTCATGGGCTGCAGTGGTTTTCCACAAGGACTTTATTCTTGTTAATCTAGATTTTTTTTTTCCTTTCAAGATTCTCACTGGTTCTTCATTTGTTAGGATGCATCCAAGTTGGGAAAGGAAGGAAGGAAGAAAGGGAAGGAAGGAAGGAAGGAAAAAGAAAAAGGGAGAAAGGAAGGGAATAAGTAATGAAGGGGAAGGAAGAAAGGGAGAGGGGAGAGGGCAGGGAGGGAGGAACAAAGAAAAAAGGGAAGAATGGAAAGAAGGAAAGGAAAGGGAGGGGAAAAGGTAAAAAGGAAAGAAGGAAAACAAAGGGAAGGAAGAAAAAGGAAGCAGAAGGAAGAAAAGGAAGAAAGGGAAGGAAAGGAAGGAAGGAAGGAAAGAATGGAGGGAGGGAAGGAAGGGAAAGGAAAGGAAGGAAGGACGGAAGAAAAAGGAGGGAGAAAAAAATAAGAAAAGTGAAGGAAGGAAATAAAAGGAAGCAGAAGGAAGGAAAGAGGAAGGGGAAAGAAGGAAAAGAGGGAGGGAGGAAAGAAAAGGGAAGGAGAGGAGGAAGAAAGGAAGGGGAAAGAAGGAAAGAAAGAAAGAAAAAAGCAAAAACAAGAAAGGTGATACATGATTTGGAAGACAGCAGAAAGGGTCTTTCAAGGCCCCCATACTATGCAGACCTATTTTTCCAGGCCACAATTATCAGGGGAAACATTCAAAAAGCAACTTTATAGGAGGAGATGAAGAGCGTGACCAAAAGAGTGGACACAGCTGGACAATGAGAGCCGGCTCTTTTGGTGCTTGGGGAACACCTATTCAAAGGGGCCAGGTGACAACAACTACACACCCACCATTTTGTTCATACTTAACAAATGTATACGTTGCTGCAATCACAACACACTGAACACATGAAATAAGTATAATTTAGAACAGAACAGAACAGAATAGAATAGAATAGAATAGAATAGAATAGAATAGAATAGAATAGAAAAGAAATTAGAACAGAACAGAACAGAATATAGGAATAGAATAAAATAGAATATAGGAATAAAATAGAATAGAATATAGAAATGGAATAGAATAGGTATTAAAATAGAATAGTAGGAATTAGAACAAAATAGAATATAGGAATAGAATAGAATAGGAATTAAAATAGAATAGTAGGAATTAGAATAAAATAGAATAGAATATA